AGGTCATCAGTTGAAAGGAAGGTGTCATCGCTTTCTCTCGCTAGACTTGTTTTCAGAGGAGAGATATGTCCAGCAATAGGTACATTCATGGTTCAGTATGACATCACTGATTCGACCAATTATGTTTGGTGTTGGATCAAGAATTATTTCTCTTTGGCCCTGATTTCAACTTACAGTGAATGCTACAGAGAAACGCAGAGTCTTATTCGATATCGTAGCAGACCTTTGCAAGTCTGCTTTGGGGAGCTTCCTTCCTCTTTGATATTTATGGATTGAGTCTGTTGTTGATCATTAACGGACCCCCCCTGGGCACACTAAGGCGCCTATAAACCTACCTACGGAATTCTTGTGGGAAAGAGAGGCTAACCGGGTTAGCCCTAATGGCAATTCACAGAGATGTCATCATCCCAACTGATGATGATAACAGAATTTGCTAATTAAATGTTTAGAAAGCTTGATTTTGTATTGTGAATTCACTGAACTGAAAATTTGGAATTTTTAGTTTTGAAAACGAATATGCTAGTACAGTTTTTCAGTGAAGGGCTTTTCCCGAGCCGATGTAATGGTAATTAATTGAATCTGAATCAGCAGGTCTTTTTTATTGAGACCCCTCCCGAAACAAAAAGTTGGGCACGGCCTTGATTATAGAAAAATGGTGTGTTAGAAACAGCTTAATAGATAGAATGATTTTTATTGTGAATTGTCTACTCTTCATAGTTATTTGGATAATATTTTTATAAATCCTTTTCTTTATTGTTATCATAATTATCAATTTAGGCTTATCCCAGTGTTTCAGTTGACTCGAAAAAAGTTATACCTTATTTATCGATGAAAACAAACTCATTTTATTTTTTATATATTTTTTTTTTACATTACATTTTACATACATTAAAATCCGACCCAAAATTGAATAATAAAAATAATGAGTGTAACAATGGTGATAATGAAAATAAGAATAAGGTCGAGTGGGCTGAAGTTGGAAACTCAGGGGTTCATTATGGCATGCAAGGATGATGTCTTCANCTGTTAGCTGTGTGAGTTTTCGAATTTTTGAGTTGTCATAACTTTGTTAATAATGAATATTTTTTCATGAAATTTTGGTCACACCTATTTAGAGGCACTCTGAATCCAGTGGCGTAGTGATTTTTTCAATAAAAAAATCGCTGATTAGGAAAATCCCGATTTTCGACTGAGAAAAAATATCGTAGTATGCCCTGAAACTTTAATAAACATTTCAAATTTTGTCCCAAGGTAGACCTTTCAGTACTTGACATTAAAAAAAAATTATTAAAATTGGTTTACATTTTCAAATTTCAGGGGGGTGTTTCCATTAAAAATGGGTCACACTGTATAAAGAATTGATTCCATAATATACACCTCGTTGTTGACAGGAATGTGTTTAATGAAACTCAGTTCTTTTTGAAAATATTGTTTTTTATCAATTTCAGTTATAGTAAACTATCATGTGGCAATAATCTACTTTGATGAACTCATATATCGCTCGTTAAAAAAAATTTGGCCATAGCTTACAGAATAAACAAAAATACATAAACTTCAATTCCAATAACCACAAGATGACTTGTGGTTATTATCAAAAATTATATTGGCCAAAATGGAAAGACCTTTTTCGAAAGAATGAAAGAACACAAAAATCCCTTTTTACAAAAAGAAAACTAGTTGAACAGTTGCAAATCTTTTTTTTGTTAGAAGTCACGAGTTCAATATTGAATAACACTTATGAGATTGGAAGGGAAAGGTTCCAAATTCAATCTTTTGGAATACATAGAAACCAGTGGATTCAAAAATTCGTAACTGATTCTCATTGAAAGGAATTGAATAATCTTTCTTTATTGGATTTGCTTTGTATCAATGAAATAGGTGATTAGGGTATATCTAAATCAAGGTAATAAAAGGTTTCAGATGGGTTATTGTATTCATCACATGTACTGTTCATTGATTTTATTCCTAGAATTGTAAGAAATGATTGTGTAGATATTTTTTCTTGTTTTCTTAGGTAGTGATAGTCATTAAGAGTCAAATTAGTGTAATATATGAAATCACAATGTAGACAGTGTTATTTGGGGCTGAATACGCCTGAAGGATCAAATACATAGTAAAACACGTGTCAGGGTTTTGTGAAACGATGAGTAAAATCGCACAAGTGTTCTGTATCTGTAGAGTAGGGAGGGTGAGTGTAGACTCACAGAACTTAGGCCACATGTGGTCCATTGTGCCTCATCGTCCATCCTGTCCTTTCCAGGAAGGTGGACAGGTCACTAAGAGACAACTCCTTTATATTGGCAGGTGTAGACCAAGACTCGCCGAACACACACTCTCTTTGGAAACCTCGAGGTGTCTCACGGTGGCCTCCGCGAAGGTTTTGGATGGTGCAGTGACATTATTGTCGTTGCGCGGCTTCCTTAACCTTCTTGGGGTTCCCTCCATGGAGGTACACAAGTGAGGGAGCTTTCCTGCAGGGGCAGCCGGTTCCTTGCGTTTATTCAAGGCGGAGCTCTTGGCGCCCGCCGCAGGAAGTGCCCTTGGTTTGGAGGTGGAGTGAAGGAGGAGGAGGGTGTACTTATAGTTGCTGCCACTTCTGCCTCCTTCGCCCTCTTTCTCCTTTTGGCCTCGGCGCCGCAAATGCGCTTACGCCTTGGCCTTTGTATTATATCACGAGATGATCTGCTATATCCAGCCGCATTCCAAGCGGTAGATTGGGGTGGACATTTCTGTTCATCCCCAGCCACCGCCTTAGATTGAGGTGAGCACTTCTGTCCAGGATCGGGATTAGTTTTTGTTTTTTGTTTCTGTTTTTGTGTTTATTTCATTCATGTGTGTTCCCACGAGTAGCAAGGGAAGAGTTGGTCACCTCTGGCAGAGGTAGGCTGATTACAATGAGGTTTCGCCCGGTTCCCCAAGGGGATCGTTCGTAACCGCTTATCACCCTGCGGCCATTCAGCTGTCGGCACGATTACTTACACCTTAGCTTGGGTAGGCTGGTCCACGGTGGCATGATTTGCAAAGGCTTTTGGGGAATTTCAGTTCCACTCATCCTACTTATTTCTGCCACTGACCAGGAGTCTGGCGACACCGTCCGTAAGGCCACAGTGGCTTCCCGAGCAGGGCCTTCAGTCCTCTAGTCGTTCCTCTATCAGCCACCTGAGGAAGCGCCCGCTAGAAAGCCCAACCTGCGGGTCGCACAAGCGTTATTTGAATACATGATAATATTACATGACATGATCGTGGCATACCACCAATCTACACTTTAACTGTATGAAGTATTCTTCTTAGTTTATTCATATTTGTTTTTTTTTTCAGGGCTCAGATCCCCGAGTTGCCACATGCAGAGGAAAATTGCAGAACCGAAGATCAAAGCTGAACCAAGAAATCAACAAGGAATTGAGGCTCAGAGCAGGAGCTGAGAATTTGTTCAAAGCAACCACCAACAGAAAACTCAGAGAAACTGTCGCAGTCGAGTTGAGTTTCGTCAATTCAAACTTGCAGCTGCTGAAAGAGCAGTTGGCAGAGTTGAATTCCTCTGTGGAATTATATCAAAGTGATAGGTGAGATGATTTATGAAATATTTGAGATTTTTCCTTTTGCACAGTTGTTACATATCTAAATTTATCCGAAACAGGGTTTTCTTTTGATTTTTGCATATTGTCTATTTTATATGTGGGTGAGGAATCACACGTTGCGTTAAGAGTCACACGTTATAATTTAAGACCTTATAACGTGTGACGTAAGACTAACAAGGCTTAGCTTGCACACGTTTCGACTTCTGAGAGTTGTCGTTCGTAGAAATAGTAAAATAACTCTTTGATTATATTTCAGACAGTCTTTTTATTAGTACCTACTTGGAAGATTTTCTTCAATCATTGTGATTGCTGCTGCTTTTTTTTATTCTGTACTTTCTTTCAGTGATTGGATTCGAATACCACAGATACAATCACAAAAATTATAGGGATGATCTCTAATTGTTTTTTTTTCAAAATGATATATTTTGGACACTTATTTTTCCACTACGAAACCAAAAATTATCATACCTCAGCTGCACAGTAATAAGCTATTGATGAGTTGAATTCAACCGAACCAAAAGTTTTTCTAATTAATAGGTGGAAGGAGCCGAAGAGATTCAGCCTTGATCATCAAATCATCAAATGAAGTTGTACGGTACACCGACACTATTAACATATTTCCGTTCAGACAGCCCGAGGGCTTGTTCGGCCTGACCCACATCCGCAATCCGCGTTATTCTCTTGTTTCAATCCACAAAGCGAGGCCAAAGAGTTTTGTTTACGTGTTCCTTTTTGACAAAAACCGAATAATGTCAATCTATCAAGTGATTGTGGTCATATATCCATGATACTCAAATTAATCCATCATGTCACACAGAAAATAGAAATATTTTTATTTATTCAGCTCTGTAGGTCATGGAGGCCATACTTTACACACATTAATTTTCAGTCCTTAGTTCGAACTGAAAAGTAGAACTAGAATCTTCGACGAGAAGTAACTCCAAAATAAGCACTGCTTCCAAACAGCAAAACTGCGCGTTTCACAAACAAGTTGATGAACTCAACTTCATTTTCTTTTCCTATCTTCTGCAGTATCTTTTCAGTCTGCATCTTTTTTTTTTGGTTCTTTCCTACGAGTACACCCTTCCATGCTGCTATTTTCCATACATGCTTTTTGACAACTCACTCTCCGTACTCAATGAAGCATTATATTCTATTTCTCATTATTATTTGCGCTGGAAGTGAAATCTATAGTTATCGTGAATAAAAAACTCGCCTGAGAGGCTCATTTTGAATATTATCAAGCCAGACATGTCAAAGACTTTATGAAAAATCTTGAGCCACAGAACCAAAACGAATCCATTCGACGTATGTGATAATCGTCAGACCAATGATCCAGTATGGAGCAATAGCCTGGATGCCGAAAGCTTCACAGCAAACAGCTCAGGTGAAGCTCTCTAGTGTACAGAGGCGGGTTGCCTGGATATCTCTGGTATCTTCTGCACCAGCTGCTATGTAAATTCTTCTAGACTCACCTCTATACCATATCTTTCTGGGAAAGAGTGAGTGTACAGAGGCGGGTTGCCTGGAAATCTCTGGTATCTTCTGCACTAGCGGCTATGTAAATTCTTTCAGACCTACCTCTATACCATATCTTTCTCTGAAAGAGTTAGTGTGCGGGTTGCCTAGATATCTCTGGTATCTTCTGCATTAGCGGCTATATAAATTCTTCTAGACCTATCTTTCAACCATATCTTTCTGGGAAAGAGTTAATGTACAGAGGCGGGTTGCCTGGATATCTCTGGTATTTTCTGCATCAGCGGCTACGTAAATTCTTCTAGACCTATCTCTATACCACATCTTTCTGGAAAAGAGTTAGTGTACAGAGGCGGGTTGCCTGGATATCTTTGGTGTCTTCTGCACCAGCGGCTATTTAAATTCTTCTAGACCTACCTTTATACCATATCTTTCTGGGAAAGAGTTAGTGTACAGAGGCGGATTGCCTGGATATCTCAGGTATCTTGTGCACCAGCGGCTATGTAAATTCTTGTAGACTCACCTCTACACCGTATCTTTCTGGGAATAAGTTAGTGAACAGAGGCGGGTTGCCTGGATATCTCTGGTATCTTCTGCACCAGCGCGGCTATGTGAATTCTTGTAGACCTACCTCTATACCATATCTTTCTGGGAAAGGGTTAGTGTACTGAGGCGGGTTGCCTGAATATCTCCGGTATCTTCTGCACCAGCTGCTATGTAAATTCTTGTAGACCCAGCTCTATACCATATCTTTCAGGAAAAGAGTTAGTGTACAGAGGCGGGTTGCTTGGATATCTCTGGTATCTTCTGCACCAGCGGCTATGTTAATTCTTGTATTCTCATAGACCTACCTTTATACCATATCTTTCTGGGAAAAGGTTAGTGTACAGAGGCGGGTTGCCTGGATATCTCTGGTATCTTCTGAACCAGCGCGGCTATGTAAATTCTTGTAGACTTACCTCTATATCATATCTTTCTGCAAAAGAGTTTTTGTACAGAGGCGGGTTGCCTGAATTTCTCCGGTATCTTCTGCACCAGCTGCTATATAAATTCTTGTAGACCTACCTGTATACCAGGTAGGTCTACAGAGGCGGGTTGCCTGGATATCTCTGGCAACTTCTGCACCAGCGGCTATGTAAATTCTTGTATTCTTGTAGACCTACCTCTATACCATATCTTTCTGGGAAAAGGTTAGTGTACAGAGGCGGATTGCCTGGATATCTCTGGTATCTTCTGCACCAGCTGCTATGTAAATTCTTGTAGACCTACCTCTTTACCATATCTTTCTGGGAAATAGTGAGTGTACAGAGGCGGGTTGCCTGGATATCTCTGGTATCTTCTGCACCAGCGGCTATGTAAATTCTTGTAGACCTACCTCTATACCATATCTTTCTGATGGAGAGTTAGTGTACAGAGGCGGGTTGCATGGATATCGCTGGTATCTTCTGCACCAGCGACCTACTTCTATACCAGTTAGTAGTTAGTGTACAGAGGCGAGTTGCCTGGATATCTCTGATATATTCTGCACCAGAGGCTGTGTAAATTCTTGTAGACTCACCTCGATACCGTATCTTTCTGGGAAAGACTTGGTGTACAGAGGCGGTTTGCCTGGATATCTCTGGCATCTTCTGCACCAGCGGCTATGTAAATTCTTAAAGATACCGCCAGGTGAACGCACATCATCATTAACCAACCATAATATTTTATTCAAATCCAAAATAAAAACAGCTGACACAAATCTACTTAGAAATGTGTGCTGCAATATAATCGAATGAAAATACCACCAATACCGCGATCTGCCAATATATTATAAAACAATAAAACAAAATCGAATGAAATGTACTGTTAGCGGTAATAAATTATAACCGTTTTCATTGATATAGGTCTTGTGTATTATAATATTATGTGCACAGTGCATCTGTTCAATGACGATTGTTGGATTATAGTCGTGGAACTTCAAGTTTTACGTTAATTCATATTTTGTGCTAAGGAGCTCCGGAGAAACATTCAACTTGGAACTATGGTCAGGGTCAACATGAATCAATTAATCACTTTTCAATGTAGGGCGGTGTTATTATAGAGTTAAAGAATTTTTTTCATATTTATTTATTTGTACATACTCACAAACAACACCAAAACGAAACATGCAATTTCCTCGCGAGCATTACGCTGCTGGTGGTTGAAACTTCTACTTGTCTATTCTTGCCTCTCACGCATCTTGGTTTTTGGAAAAAGTTTTCGGTTTTCTACTTCACCATCTTTCATGAAAAATTGTGGAAATCTCCCAAAGGAAGGAAGGGAAATCACGATGATCATGAGAATAAGTAACTTTCAAACACAAACTGAAAAAAACCCTTCTTGAAACAGCTACTTTCATATAAATATTGAACTACACGAAAAAAAAAATTGAAACAGATACTTCCATATGAACACTGAATTATACAAAAAACACTTTTCTCTCTTCAGTCTGTAATCCAGGCATTCGTTATGGAATTGAATCAGATATCATCTACAGGATTGCTATACAGTATAGTAAATGAAAGAGATGAAATTCCACTTACATGGAACCCTGTCATCCTCACTGGTGAACATCCGATGTTTCAGCTTAAGACACTTGCCTTATCGTCTCTCAAGCACCAAATCTGGATAATATTATAAGAACTGTTAAAAAATCTGTTTGAATCAGTTTTTCCGTCAACCAGCAGTCGCCGCCCTCCCAAAAGTTGAAACTTGTCTTTCAATCTTTTAACGTGTTTTTCCTAACAAGGGTTGGATGTTCGGCCTTGCGGTTCGAACCACCGGTTCGCAGTGCGGTCGATTGACTGAGTGAAACTAACTACCCACGTCAACCCACCAGGGTACGGTCCTAGTAAATGCATGAATTAGGTGCTTCATCTTTCCCAAAAATTCATCTATAATGAACGCAATTGACTTCACATGCTGCTCCACAGTAGTCTATCTTCAGCCCTGGTCTTGAACTATCTCAAACTATCTGCCTTGTTAGAAAAGGGTTTAATGTCACATTTTGATGAGAATGGAAAAATATCATGCTGCTGCTTCAAAGTTAGAGAAAGAGAAAGAGGTGTATAACTCACAGGAGGAAGTTTGGAGGATCTTCTGCCGGAGGCATGGAAATTTACCAGGTTTCACTCGTATTAAACCACACGAAAGAACACTTCAAAAGCGTGCCAGACCATCGAAACTGAAGTAAAATAATAAAGTTTCTAACGCTGTGACCATTCATATCTATCATTCATATCTATGGAGGTATTTTACACCAGTTAGGTACAAACTCTAGTATAGAGAAATCCAACAGATTTCAATGTTCTAGCACCAAGCAGTATACAGTTCAAATATTCAAAAACCTCAAAATGTTCATGTAGAATCAAAGCAATAATTGACTCCACATGCTCCTCCACAGAAGTTAAAGACAGACTGTTCTTGAATTATCTCAAACTATCTGCCTTGTTAGAAATGAGTTTCATGTCACACTTCGAGGAGAATAAAAA